AAACATGTTTTTTTCTGCTGTAAAGTTGGGCATTTTAACATGGGGAGTCTATGGGACTGACTCTCTTTTGCAGCCAGCCTCTAGCGGCCAGTTGATGAATTGCAGTTTAAGTCACTTCCGTGTTGGCTTCACGAGAGAGAGCGGGAGGTTGCCGCTTGGTTGTATTTAATTGTTGATGTTTATTGTTTATGCTTGCAATAAGAAACAGATGATGACGGATCTCGTGACTGTACCTGGATGCTGACGGCTCGCCGCTGCTGGCCTCAGCGTCCTGTTTCTCGCGCTCCTCTGTGACAGTAAAACTCAAAGTCAACAGAATTCTTCAAACTGACTGACTAGAGGTGAAATAATAGAGTAATGACCTAAGACACGCTGGCTCCTCTCGATGGCCGTCCTCCTCGTCTGCTCAAACATGGCCTCCAGATCAAAGGTTCGAGCTTTCTTCCCTGAGCACGAAACAAACAGGATTCAAACTCAACATGTGACGCTGAAAACACACACACAGTTAACTGCTTGTGCTCCAGAAACACTCACCAAACCCAGAGAAGCCCATGACAGATGAGACGTCTGCATCGCTACTGGAGTCTCCTGCGATCAGACCAAACCAAACCAACCATTCAATATTATCATCAGTACTACTACCTCTACATACCATTAAGAATCTATAGTTGGTAGCAAAAATAATAAAATAAATCATGATAAATAATCATATTTTTAAAGGGAGATTAGAATTTAATTTTCAAAATATCTGCTATTGAAATTATTACAGATTTTCTGTTATTATTTCCATTATTACTATTATTACATAATGAATAATAATAAATAAATAAAAAAAATTTAAAATTATATTTTAAAGGGAAATTAGAATTAAATTTTCAAAATATCTGGTATTGAAATTATTACAGATTTTCTGTTATTATTTCCATTATTATTATTATTACTACATAATGAATATGAATAAACAAATAAAAAATTATATTTTAAAGGGAGATTAGAATTTAATTTTCAAAATATCTGGTATTGAAATTATTACAGATTTTCTGTTATTATTTCCATTATTATTATTATTACTACATAATGAATATGAATAAACAAATAAAAAATTATATTTTAAAGGGAGATTAGAATTTAATTTTCAAAATATCTGGTATTGAAATTATTACAGATTTTCTGTTATTATTTCCATTATTATTATTATTACTACATAATGAATATGAATAAACAAATAAAAAATTATATTTTAAAGGGAGATTAGAATTTAATTTTCAAAATATCTGGTATTGAAATTATTACAGATTTTCTGTTATTATTTCCATTATTATTATTATTACTACATAATGAATATGAATAAACAAATAAAAAATTATATTTTAAAGGGAGATTAGAATTTAATTTTCAAAATATCTGGTATTGAAATTATTACAGATTTTCTGTTATTATTTCCATTATTATTATTATTACTACATAATGAATATGAATAAACAAATAAAAAATTATATTTTAAAGGGAGATTAGAATTTAATTTTCAAAATATCTGGTATTGAAATTATTACAGATTTTCTGTTATTATTTCCATTATTATTATTATTACTACATAATGAATATGAATAAACAAATAAAAAATTATATTTTAAAGGGAGATTAGAATTTAATTTTCAAAATATCTGGTATTGAAATTATTACAGATTTTCTGTTATTATTTCCATTATTATTATTATTACTACATAATGAATATGAATAAACAAATAAAAAATTATATTTTAAAGGGAGATTAGAATTTAATTTTCAAAATATCTGGTATTGAAATTATTACAGATTTTCTGTTATTATTTCCATTATTATTATTATTACTACATAATGAATATGAATAAACAAATAAAAAATTATATTTTAAAGGGAGATTAGAATTTAATTTTCAAAATATCTGGTATTGAAATTATTACAGATTTTCTGTTATTATTTCCATTATTATTATTATTACTACATAATGAATATGAATAAACAAATAAAAAATTATATTTTAAAGGGAGATTAGAATTTAATTTTCAAAATATCTGGTATTGAAATTATTACAGATTTTCTGTTATTATTTCCATTATTATTATTATTACTACATAATGAATATGAATAAACAAATAAAAAATTATATTTTAAAGGGAGATTAGAATTTAATTTTCAAAATATCTGGTATTGAAATTATTACAGATTTTCTGTTATTATTTCCATTATTATTATTATTACTACATAATGAATATGAATAAACAAATAAAAAATTATATTTTAAAGGGAGATTAGAATTTAATTTTCAAAATATCTGGTATTGAAATTATTACAGATTTTCTGTTATTATTTCCATTATTATTATTATTACTACATAATGAATATGAATAAACAAATAAAAAATTATATTTTAAAGGGAGATTAGAATTTAATTTTCAAAATATCTGGTATTGAAATTATTACAGATTTTCTGTTATTATTTCCATTATTATTATTATTACTACATAATGAATATGAATAAACAAATAAAAAATTATATTTTAAAGGGAGATTAGAATTTAATTTTCAAAATATCTGGTATTGAAATTATTACAGATTTTCTGTTATTATTTCCATTATTATTATTATTACTACATAATGAATATGAATAAACAAATAAAAAATTATATTTTAAAGGGAGATTAGAATTTAATTTTCAAAATATCTGGTATTGAAATTATTACAGATTTTCTGTTATTATTTCCATTATTATTATTATTACTACATAATGAATATGAATAAACAAATAAAAAATTATATTTTAAAGGGAGATTAGAATTTAATTTTCAAAATATCTGGTATTGAAATTATTACAGATTTTCTGTTATTATTTCCATTATTATTATTATTACTACATAATGAATATGAATAAACAAATAAAAAATTATATTTTAAAGGGAGATTAGAATTTAATTTTCAAAATATCTGGTATTGAAATTATTACAGATTTTCTGTTATTATTTCCATTATTATTATTATTACTACATAATGAATATGAATAAACAAATAAAAAATTATATTTTAAAGGGAGATTAGAATTTAATTTTCAAAATATCTGGTATTGAAATTATTACAGATTTTCTGTTATTATTTCCATTATTATTATTATTACTACATAATGAATATGAATAAACAAATAAAAAATTATATTTTAAAGGGAGATTAGAATTTAATTTTCAAAATATCTGGTATTGAAATTATTACAGATTTTCTGTTATTATTTCCATTATTATTATTATTACTACATAATGAATATGAATAAACAAATAAAAAATTATATTTTAAAGGGAGATTAGAATTTAATTTTCAAAATATCTGGTATTGAAATTATTACAGATTTTCTGTTATTATTTCCATTATTATTATTATTACTACATAATGAATATGAATAAACAAATAAAAAATTATATTTTAAAGGGAGATTAGAATTTAATTTTCAAAATATCTGGTATTGAAATTATTACAGATTTTCTGTTATTATTTCCATTATTATTATTATTACTACATAATGAATATGAATAAACAAATAAAAAATTATATTTTAAAGGGAGATTAGAATTTAATTTTCAAAATATCTGGTATTGAAATTATTACAGATTTTCTGTTATTATTTCCATTATTATTATTATTACTACATAATGAATATGAATAAACAAATAAAAAATTATATTTTAAAGGGAGATTAGAATTTAATTTTCAAAATATCTGGTATTGAAATTATTACAGATTTTCTGTTATTATTTCCATTATTATTATTATTACTACATAATGAATATGAATAAACAAATAAAAAATTATATTTTAAAGGGAGATTAGAATTTAATTTTCAAAATATCTGGTATTGAAATTATTACAGATTTTCTGTTATTATTTCCATTATTATTATTATTACTACATAATGAATATGAATAAACAAATAAAAAATTATATTTTAAAGGGAGATTAGAATTTAATTTTCAAAATATCTGGTATTGAAATTATTACAGATTTTCTGTTATTATTTCCATTATTATTATTATTACTACATAATGAATATGAATAAACAAATAAAAAATTATATTTTAAAGGGAGATTAGAATTTAATTTTCAAAATATCTGGTATTGAAATTATTACAGATTTTCTGTTATTATTTCCATTATTATTATTATTACTACATAATGAATATGAATAAACAAATAAAAAATTATATTTTAAAGGGAGATTAGAATTTAATTTTCAAAATATCTGGTATTGAAATTATTACAGATTTTCTGTTATTATTTCCATTATTATTATTATTACTACATAATGAATATGAATAAACAAATAAAAAATTATATTTTAAAGGGAGATTAGAATTTAATTTTCAAAATATCTGGTATTGAAATTATTACAGATTTTCTGTTATTATTTCCATTATTATTATTATTACTACATAATGAATATGAATAAACAAATAAAAAATTATATTTTAAAGGGAGATTAGAATTTAATTTTCAAAATATCTGGTATTGAAATTATTACAGATTTTCTGTTATTATTTCCATTATTATTATTATTACTACATAATGAATATGAATAAACAAATAAAAAATTATATTTTAAAGGGAGATTAGAATTTAATTTTCAAAATATCTGGTATTGAAATTATTACAGATTTTCTGTTATTATTTCCATTATTATTATTATTACTACATAATGAATATGAATAAACAAATAAAAAATTATATTTTAAAGGGAGATTAGAATTTAATTTTCAAAATATCTGGTATTGAAATTATTACAGATTTTCTGTTATTATTTCCATTATTATTATTATTACTACATAATGAATATGAATAAACAAATAAAAAATTATATTTTAAAGGGAGATTAGAATTTAATTTTCAAAATATCTGGTATTGAAATTATTACAGATTTTCTGTTATTATTTCCATTATTATTATTATTACTACATAATGAATATGAATAAACAAATAAAAAATTATATTTTAAAGGGAGATTAGAATTTAATTTTCAAAATATCTGGTATTGAAATTATTACAGATTTTCTGTTATTATTTCCATTATTATTATTATTACTACATAATGAATATGAATAAACAAATAAAAAATTATATTTTAAAGGGAGATTAGAATTTAATTTTCAAAATATCTGGTATTGAAATTATTACAGATTTTCTGTTATTATTTCCATTATTATTATTATTACTACATAATGAATATGAATAAACAAATAAAAAATTATATTTTAAAGGGAGATTAGAATTTAATTTTCAAAATATCTGGTATTGAAATTATTACAGATTTTCTGTTATTATTTCCATTATTATTATTATTACTACATAATGAATATGAATAAACAAATAAAAAATTATATTTTAAAGGGAGATTAGAATTTAATTTTCAAAATATCTGGTATTGAAATTATTACAGATTTTCTGTTATTATTTCCATTATTATTATTATTACTACATAATGAATATGAATAAACAAATAAAAAATTATATTTTAAAGGGAGATTAGAATTTAATTTTCAAAATATCTGGTATTGAAATTATTACAGATTTTCTGTTATTATTTCCATTATTATTATTATTACTACATAATGAATATGAATAAACAAATAAAAAATTATATTTTAAAGGGAGATTAGAATTTAATTTTCAAAATATCTGGTATTGAAATTATTACAGATTTTCTGTTATTATTTCCATTATTATTATTATTACTACATAATGAATATGAATAAACAAATAAAAAATTATATTTTAAAGGGAGATTAGAATTTAATTTTCAAAATATCTGCTATTGAAATTATTACAGATTTTCTGTTATTATTTCCATTATTGTTATTATTATTACATAATTAATAATAATAAATAATAAAAAAATAAATAAAAATTATATTTTAAAGGGAAATTAGAATTTAATTTTCAAAATATCTGGTATTGAAATTATTACAGATTTTCTGTTATTTCCATTATTATTATTATTATTATTACATAATGATAATAAACAAACAAATAAAAAATTATATTTTAAAGGGAGATTAGAATTTAATTTTCAAAATATCTGGTATTGAAATTATTACAGATTTTCTGTTATTTCCATCATTATTATTATTATTATTATTACTACATAATGAATATGAATAAACAAATAAAAAATTATATTCTAAAGGGAAATTAAAATTTAATTTTCAAAATA